CGCCGCCCCGGGCCACCTGCCGCGGCGCCCGGGCTGCTCCCCCGGCGCTCGGGCTCAACGTCAGGGACGGCGGCCGCGGGACGGCTTCGGGGACCTCGCGGCTTTGCTGAGCACGGTGCCCCGACGTGGGTGGGAGTGGGTGGGGCCAGGGCGCGCATCCGGAGTCCTCCTACCTGTGCGTGGGCCGAGATGCCTTCTCACTTCGCTCCGGGTGTAACTTGCTGTCCCTCTGTGTTTATGTCGCCATTATGTCTTAATGTCCCCCAGTCCTGTGGACCATGACATATGTATTACATAATCCTGAATGTGTGGCAGAAGCTGCTTCTAAGCAAGTGAGGCAGAGGAGCCCTGGCTCCCCGGGTGTTCGCAACGTACACGTAATGACTTGAAAGGACTGCAGGGTTGGGGTGGAAACGTTGCTGTCCTGTTTCTATGGCAGACTGATTGAGAGGAAAATTATGAGTTTATGTCCTGGTATTAAAGATACAAATATACATATACAGCTTGAGGGTATTAGGAAAGCTGGAGTGGTCTGGAGGCCGGGATATTCCCACAATAGGGAAGTATAAAGAGGAAAGTAAGGCCTAACACCCATGGCTTTGGAAACCGATTCGCAGTTTTCTAGGAGTCGGCAATTTTACATTTAAAAAAATATTTAAAAATAAAATTTGAAAGCCTCAATCCATGGGGTAAATCTGATAGCTAAGTAACTTTGGGAGGAATTGTGTATAAGGAATAGAAATAGCTGTTAAAATAATAAGGAAGAGTAGCAGGAGAATAGTTCAGATACACAATGCATCCGAGGTTCAGGATGACCCCATAGTTTGTTCTCAGAAAGATCCAGTGAGTTGAGGTGTGCGGTGGTACTTCAGGAGGTTTTAGGAAGATCCAAGTGCCCCAGGCCAGAGATGGAATGGTAAATGTTATTTAGCCCCATCCAAGGAGATCATCAATGGCTGCCCAAGGCTGCCACTTCTAGTTTGAAATCTGCAATGTAACAACAAAGAATGTATTTAGGCAGCATTTTACCCTAAAGAATAGGCACCGTTTTCATTATTTATACATTTAGTTTAACCTCTCCTCCTCCTTCCAACCACAAATAAGCCCCATCTAACACTCTCTCCTTGGAGTATGTAGACAGCTAGGAGATGGATGGGGAGCCAAGGCAGGGCACTATCCATCTCATTCAAGGCACTCCAGTCTGGGTTATACTCAAACTACTCCAGGTCCAACACCAGAGCTCACTGCTTTGTGAGAGCAGCCCACAGCCAAAGCTTCTGAGGTTCAGCATTCAAAATTTTACTTGTAAATATAAAATGGAGGCTCATGGAAAATACTTAATCATTTCCAAAGCCATCAGCTTTAGGGATGGTGGACTTGTCTTTCTCCCCTGAGGGATTTCTTTTCTCTGATCTCTTGTGGGAATATCTGTCTACCATATCGAGCACCTTCTAATTTAATGCCCACAGGCTATATATATATATCCAGCACCTCCTAATTTAATACCCACAGGCAATATATACATTTATATGTATACACACATCAGGAAATAAACTCCTAATTTTCCTCCCAGTTTGCCATTTAAAAAGAAAAGCTGAATTTCCAAACCCTAGTCTTCACTTATGTGTAAACATTAGCTTGCCAGCCACTATGTCTATCTTTATATTCCTAGAGCTTTGCATAATAGGTGTCAAACAAGTTATTTATCAATTAAATAAATTTATTTTGCTTTCTCAAATACTGAATATATCTTATACAAAATATAAAAAAAAATTATGATCTCACAATTGCTGCTGGTCTCTAGTTCTCAGATTTTTATTGCTTTTCTCAGCCATCTGGAAGTCCCACCAACCTGAGACTGCTTTGAGTTAAATTCTCTACTGAGGTTCTTTTGACCACACTGGTAGTGTGAATTCAAAATGCAAACTAGCTTCAGAGTTGGCCTGTAGTTCAAGATCTTAAGCAAGGTTTATTTTTCTCCTTCCACCTAGTGACAAAGTTGAGGTAAGAAAGTTTCCTTACCTGGACCTCTCCGTATAGGAAGTTTATTCACTACTGTTTTATATGGGATTTCCTATTAGACTGCACATCTTGGGGAATTTTTATTCTGAGTGACATGTAAATGGAATGGTATGGTTGGCACTATGTATTCATAGGTTCTGGGGGTTCTGCATCCACAGATTCTACCAACTACAGGTTAAAAATATTGGAAAAGATCTGGAAGATCTGTTTGGAAGATCCATCCAGTTCAAAAGATTTTTCCAGAAAACATTATATTGTTGCTGACAATTTCTGTATTTTTAGGCCTATAATGGTTAAGTCTGTACTGAAGGTATACAGGATTTTTCTTTCATTATTCCCTAAACAATACAGTATGACAACTTTTACATAGCTTTTACACTGTATTAGGTATTGTAAATCATCTGGGAATGAAAGTATACAGGAAGGTGGTGTATGTAGGTTACATGCAAATACTGTATCATTCTATATCATAAATTTTGCTATCTATGGGGGCCTAGAATCAATCCTCTACAGATACCAAGGAATGATTGTGTACCTTAAAATAGATGGTAGATTAGATTTTTTCTATGTTTACATGTTGAAATTATGCTCTGTATCAATTTTGTGTTCTTTTTTTCTGTTAAGAACATGAACATTTTGCCATCCTATTGGAAACTCTTTACATGTCATTCTTATAGTTTGTGTTGTATGTATTTTTGATTAATTTACTTAGTCATCTCTCACTGCTGGATAGCCAAGCCCTTCCCCTTTTTGTTATGCCTACATTTTTGACCACATTTCATTTTTCCTAAGCTCTGTGATACTAAACGCTGCACGAGGCACTGGGACAGCCAAGAAGAAGACAGAAATGTCCCATCCCATCAGGCTCATAGCCTGGCAGTGAAGGGAGCTATTAGGCGAGAGTGAAATATAGAATGAGGGGTGACAGGCAGAGCAAATGCTATCAGCCATTCAGGCTGCTGACTTTATGACAGATTGCTAAATGTGGCAACACTGGGTTAAAGCGCCACAATTCTTAAGCTTCTCTCGATTGTGCTGCCTACAGTGCAGATGGGTATCAATTTTATTTCACCATTGTCTAAACTTGTTATTGCCACTTAAAATTATTTCTGCCAATTTGTCAGATGACAGTAGCTTTTTGTTTTATGTTTATGCTTTGTAATTGAATCTATCACGTTTTCAAAATATATGTTGGCAATTTGCAGTTCCCCTTCCGTGCCCTGCCTGTCCACGATGCCCTTTGCCTGCTTGTCCTCTGGGGGCTCCATCCTCTGATGATGAACTTGCCCGTGTTCTTCATCCATAAGCGTATTCGTCTTTTGTCTGGCATGATACTTGCAAATATTATTCCCAATGTGTTGTGTGTTTTCAGTGCCACTTATTTGTTATATAAATTTTATGCAGTCAAACCTATCTATTCTTTCTGTGATATTTTATGTTGCTTTGACATTTAGAAAATTGATCCTCACCCAGAAATTTGATCTACATTAACTTTGATTTTCTTCTTTCTTCTTTGACTTTTTCTTCTTATAAACTGCTTTTCCACATTTAATTTCTTAATCTATTTGATGCTTATGTTGATATGTGATATGAAGTGAGACTCAAAATTTTTCATTGAATAGTTGATCAATAATCACTGTAACCACTTATTGAATAGTTCTTCACGTGATTTGTAATTCTCCCTTAAATTTAATTTAAAGTACAATATTAAATTACTGGTATTTACCAATCTATGTATCCTTTGCTATTGACCTGTTTGTTCTTATACTAGTACCACACTATTTAATTATTTTATTTATTTATTTTTGAGATGGAGTCTTGCTCTGTTACCCCAAGTGGAGTACAGTGACATCATCATAGCTCACAGCAACTTCGAACTCCTGGGCTCAAGCAGTCCTCTTGCCTCAAGCTTCCTGAGCAGCTCGGACTATAGGTGCATGCCATGATGCCTGGTAATTTCTCTGTTTTTAGTAGAGATGGGATCTTGCTCTTGCTCAGGTCAGTCTCAGAACTCTTGAAGTCAAGAAATTCTCCTGCCTCAGCCTCCCAGGATCCTAGGATTAAAGGCATGAACCACCATGCCTGGCCTGTTTTATTTGTTTTTAAATTAATTTTTTTTAGAGTCAGGGTCTTACTCTGTCACCTCAGCTGGAGCATAGTGACAAGATCAGAGCTCACTATAGTCTCAAACTCCTGTGCTCAGGTGATTCTCCTGGCTCAGCCTCCCAAGTAGCTAGGACTACAGGGACATACCACCACAGCTGGCTAATTTTTATTTAATTTTTTGTAAAAACAGTCTTACTCTCTTTAAAAAAAATAGCTATTCTTTGACTATTAATTTTCCATGTGAACTTTTACACATTTTACCTGCAGTTTCAAAAAAATGCATTATCTTAAAATTCAAATTGTATGAAAGATAGATATTTACTGGAAATTAAGAATGTGAATGGATGAGATGAAAAAAATCTGCCTGGTGGTCTAAGAGATATCGCCATCCTTATGTGTCCTGTGAACTGAAGTTCTATAGTCAGACACGGAGAAGATCCAAAACCCAGGGCATCCAGAGACATCCTGGGATGCCTGACTGTGGCATCTCAAGTATCTCACAACTTCCTGTATCTAGTTATACATGATACCACTCTATTGATCACGTCAGCCATGTACGTGCTAATATTTCCTTTATATCTTCCAAATCATGTGTTGCTGCAGATGGTTGTTGGTGTGGCTCA